ATGTGGCACTTAGGGACTTAGTTTAGAGGTGGACTTCGCAGTCTTAGCTTAATGGTTGGACTCAGTGATCTTAAAGGTCTTTTCCAGCCTAAATAATTCTGTGATTTTTAAGTCCCACATCTGTACTCCATTCAACAGCATAGGCTGTGGTCTGAGGGGCTGGAAGGCAGCTTGGCAGGCACAGGTACAGAGCCCTGGTGAGCAACAAACAGAGCAGTATCAGCAGTTTGTCCTCAAAGCAAGGAAAGGACACCTCATCCTGGGCTCTGCTAAGCATGACAGCAGATTGAGGTAAGGGATCATTTACCTCTCTTCATCACTGGAGCACTGTTTCTGGTTTGTTGCTCAGGGTACCATGGGGACACTGAGCTACCAGAGCAAGCCCAGAAGTGGGTCACTGTGTTGACTGGAGCACAGGGTGTGCAAGCAGAGGCCACAAGAGCTGGGCCTAATCAGGCTGGAGAAGGGAATGCTGTGGGAAAGGAGCCCTTATTTGCTGCCTGATGAGAATGTATCAAGAATATAGATCAGTGCTTTCTTCAGAGATAGCCCATACAAGGGAATCAGAAAAAGTTGAAGTATGGGAAATCCTGAGCCTGTCAAGAAGTAAAACTTCTATGTGGGGGAGAGGGTGCCCAAAATATTTGAGGAATTGATGTCCTATGGTGATATTCCAAACTTGACTGGATGAATCTTCAAGTCTGATATAACTGGACCTACTTTGAGCAGGACTGAGTGGCCTCTCGAGGTCCCTTGCCTCTTTACCTACATGAAATCATTTTTCTCTACATCACTATTAGATCTTGTTTGACTTTGCCAATGATAAATGTAGTATGAAGAAACCAGTGCCTAGGAGTTCACTTGTGTTTGTGGTAATTCCTAGGTGACCTGGTTGGAAATGATTGCTGTAGCTTACATCTCTTTCTGACATGACCTCTTGAACACTTCAGAGATATCACAGGATTTCTGTGGAAGTTTTGGTTGGTTTGGTTTTTCCCTCCTCTCTACAGGCAGGCACTGATGAGCAGTGATTCCTGTGGTTTTTTGAGTCTGAATGCTTCAGTCTGACAAATGAAGTCAGAGTGATTAAATCAAGAATATCTTAATAATGCTCATAATTTAGACTCTGGGATAAACATGAGCTTTTTGGGTAATCTAAGCAAGATGCACATTATAGTTACCCTCATGGTTAGGATGGCAGCTTATGTAAATATCACTGTGTAGCAGAAAAGTGACTTGCTACTTTATGATGAAAGAGAACAAATAGCAGAGACAAGAATCCTGTACTGAACACTATATTGTATTTTTGGGTTCTGATTGAGTTGCCTTGGTTTTTTTTCTGTTCGTCTGTGAAATGGCAAGTTTATTATATGGTAGCATTGAAACAACAGCCATTTAAGTTGGAAAGAAAGCTGTTTTTTGGGCTGGGTTGGCATCAGGAGCACCAACCCATGTTTTTGCAAGTTTGCGGCTTGGTGGAACAGAATATGCTGCTATGTCATTGGTAACTTCCACAATTTGAAATGAAGCAGAAGTGATGGGCAGTAACTCCTCAGACTTCTGTGATATTTAGTGCTCAACCCCTCACCCCCAATTTCTCTTCCCCTCAAAAAAAACCCAAACAAGCAAAAAAAAAAAAAAATAAACCAAACACAACCAAAGGTCGCTATTGTAATAGCATTAAATTGCTCTTCTAAATAAGGAATGGAGAGGTCTGGAGTGTGGAAGGAAGTGGCAGGGTATTTATCTGACCAGACTGTTTAGCAGTCACCGTGGTCTGGGAAGTTTTTCTGGAAGAATTCGTGTGGTGGAAGCTGTAGTTGTAGGTGGTGCTGGAGGATAGTGGGATTTTGTCTGTTGAATTTCCTGGAGTATGAGGTGTCCTAATTATATTGAACTGATAGTAAATTTGAATAAAGATGAGTTACAGAGTTTTGAAGTACCTTAAGAAACTGAGGGATTGAATAGTTACGCAAGCTGAAGTGTAGATGGTTGTTCAGTGATGCCCATGAGGCATCCTTTATGGAGGAGAGTGTTAAACTTGGTGTGTGAATTATTATAAATATATATTTGTCTAATTGCAGAGAAGGCCTTGAATATGTGATGGTCAGTTCTGTGAGCTTTGCCAGAGGTCTGGTTTGAAGGAGCTGACTGTACAAGGTTTGAACTAGGCAGTGTGCTGTTGGGAAGCATGTCCTCTGCCATGATGTTGTATTGGCATCCTCTTTAAACTTGAAGTGTAGTAATGCCAGCTTTGAAATTTCTTAGCTCTGAAGACTATGCTAGAATTGAAACCTTTTAAGTATAAACTGATGTCCAGCAAGTGTCCATTTTTGTGTAATGTGTGACATCCATATCATGAGAGGCAGTTTATATATAGAAAAAGCTGAAGCACTAGCTGACTAAAACTACGTGATTAGGTGTTCCTGTATATCTCCTGAATGGAATTTCTTTCATCACCTTGAACTCACAGCCCTGCAAATAAGTGAAGAGATAGAGCTTTTAAAATAAAGTTTAAGCAAGCAACATTAGAGTTACATCTAAGCACAAGTTTATAACTCAACTTATTATTGAACATTCTCAGAATGAGTTACTTTGCTCAAATCTGAAGGCTCTCGTTTCTCCCAAATCTTACTTGTTGCTGAGAGCAAGACTTGTTTGTAAGGAGTGATTTGAGGATGCCACAGTGACTCAGCTGAGGATAAACTGAGGCTAACCAAGATTTCATGGGGAGTTAAATATAGAACTTCGAAGAGTTAGAAGCTTTTAACAAAATGCATGACAAAAGATAATACATCATAATACATCTGCCTGTGGATCAGAATAAAAAAAGGAGTAGACAGGTCACCTGCTGTGAGCTGTCTGTCCCTCTGATCAAGAGAAGAACCTTTACTGCAAAAAGTTACTAAAGGATACAAATAGAGGGAAATACATTCGATTAGAAAGTAGCTATTTATTTTAACAAGTTACTATAGCCAAGTTAAATCAAACGCAAGCTGACCTGAGGTTGAAAAAAGTATCTCAAAGTGCTCTAAGTATGTATGTGTTAGCTGAAAGCACTGGTGCTCTGTTTCATAATGTATTTCAGGTTCTACTTACTGAGTACTAAAAATGAAATGGATTTGCTGTTCTAGATAGCCTCAGTGTTAATTTCTATTTTGTGTTTTCTTTATTTCCTTCATGTATAACTGGGCTGTTTTTTTGATTTGCAAAGCAAGTGGAGGATAGTCTTAAACACAGTTGAAGAAACGGTAGGTTTCTAGGAAGAGGACTGGAAATGAGGCTTGTAAAAGCAGTGTATTCTGAAGTCTTCTCACTATAGTGAGGTCTGAGTGAGCCCAATGTTTCGTACTAGAGCAAGTGGTATAAATGTTTGGGGGTGGAATGTTGCAAGTTCGTTCCTGAAGTGAGAACTTAAGTCCTTCAGTATGTGTGCCATATTGACTAACAAGAATTTTAAGGAAGACTGGATTATTACTTTACTAAAAATGTCTCTTAATCGTAAAATAACAAAGCCAATAAAATCCTTAATCGTGTGCAGGATTAGCTCTAGGTTAGTTTGGGAGCTTTTTAAATTCCTAAATATCAGACCGTTCTAAAGGGTGTGGAGGTTTGTCATTTTGTCCAGGGTGTTCATTTGAGGAATTAATTTTCTGTAACATCAAAGGTTTTCTTTATTTCAGTGGGCTTGGTTGCTTGTTTTTTGTGCTTCTGGGTTTTTGTGGTTTTTTGGTGGGTTTTTTTTGTTTTGTTTTGTTTTTTTACTGGTTTATCTCCTTCCTAATCTTTGCAGGCATTCTCTTTTTGCAGTATAAGTACTTTTGGACCTTTATCAGGTTGCCTTTTATAAGAATACATTTGAGTTCTTCCAGTCCTTTCTTGTAGGTCATGTTTTCTAGGCCTTTGAGCACACTTCACTTTCAGACTCTCTAGATGGCTAATATATGATGTGTGCTGTTCAAGCTGAACAATTCCAGATGGAGTCTCACTGATGTTGGCTGGAGGATATACTTCTATATTAGCATATTCTATAGTGTCACTTTCAATTCTTGAAATATAATCACCATACACTTGCTGTGGTTTTCAGAACACTCTTTGCTCTCTGACCAGTTTTTTAACATCCTTCATGTGTTACTTAGACCTGCTCCTGCTGGCTGCTAGTCTAATTTGGACCCACTTCAGCTTGAAGGTATTTTTCTGCCTGACTGGGAAAGGTTTAAGTGTAACTTTTCTTTTTCTCTGTGTATAATGCATTAGTCATCAGCCCCACCAAATTTCAGATGTGCAACTCTCCTTTTGGCCTCCAGTTTTCTGTTAAATATTTTAGCTATGTGTTTAAACTGGATGCCACATAGAAGGACTTCAGTCTTTCCTACCAGATTAGTTTGTCAGAACGATTGACTCATCTTTTGTGTTTCAAAAGATTTCTAAGATCATCTGGAACTCTTTAACAAACTTTCCAGTAAGAGGTTTGAGTTACATTAAGGACTGCCCGTCTCAATCTCTTATACCTATTGCTCTGATAGTCAGGGGTTTGAATTTATTTAAATGGGAGTGTGGGGCATTTTATGGTGATTAGGCCTAGTAGTGAGTATATGGATAAGTTTTGAACTAATTGTTTACTCTTACTACTAGTTTTATGAGGGAATGGGACTAGAAATGAGATGTTCTCCTCCATTCCTGCTTTTGGGCCTGGCACATTTATTGGAAAAAGAGTATCTCATTGTCCTGCTTATTGCCTTTTAAAGGAGGTGAGATTGGAAGATTTGGTGGAACAGAGTTGGAAATATTCATTACGAAAGAACTTCCATCTGCCTCATAGCATGCCTTACTTACTAGTTCAACATATTTTCTAAACATCCATAAGTTTAGTGTCAAGATAAACATGAATGTCTTAATTTGCTTTGTGTTAATATGTCTAAAAGATGATAATGTAAAGACATGTTAAATGGACATCGATGTTAGTATGGTCTAAGTCAAAATTCCACACGAAGTTTTAAAGTTCATGAGACTTCGTAAACATTCTTAGTGAGTAGTTTGTTTTAAAGTTTCAACCTTATAAAATTGGCTTTCTAAGAGTGTCCTTCCCAACTCCATTTGAATCATGTGCCTAACATTCCTTTCCAACTTCCTCTAGTGTCTTAGATTGTCCTGCTGCTTGATACTGAAGGTTTGTGCAGCATGGTGGGAAGCAGAGTATGTAGGGGCACAGGTGCTGTCTTATGTGGAGTTAAACTAGAACAGGAGCACCAGTTCACATGTGAAAATGGCATTCTGAAATGAGAATGGTGGGTAACAGCCATGTCTGGCTTCAACGGCAGAGCTTTTCTTAAGCTCTGTGACTCTATGAGTTGGGCTCAAGCTAATGTTAAACTCTTGAGTTGTGACTACTTTGACTTTGTGTTGCATTGGAGTAAAGTGTCTCTTTGAAATCAGTTTCTTTGCTTTCTGTGTTGCAAATGTCAGTCTTGTAGATAATTGTTTATTGTGGAGCTGAAGAGGTTTGCATACTTTGTCATCTTTGACTTCGTTGTGCTAGGATGACAGTTCTTTGTCCAGTGTTGCATTACCTGACCTTTTAACAGGCAGTGTGAGTCCTCTCACTGGGCTCTGGATGCTCTCTTATGAATGGTAGTTGTAGCCTTCCTTACAATTATTTTTCTTCCTTGCTCCCTCTATGTAAGTACACATGTTGATTCAGAACTAGAGGGAGATAACTGACAGTCTCTTCCATCAGCTGTGGGAAATGAAGGAGCAGAGTAACACAAGCCTCCTGGCTGAATGGTATGATATCTTGTCAGCTGTACCCTTAGGAGCAGCCAGATGGTGATTCAGAGTGTTTCAGAATTCGGCAGAACATCCTGTGATAGCACTTAACTGAGAATCCGTCTGTCTGGAGCTTGGTGTTAGTAAAACCCTTCAGCAGCAGCTAACTTTTGAGACAGCACTGAAATTGAGACTGACCTCTTCATGCAGTTCTTGTTGCTAGTCTCTTTGATTTTTAGGTTGATTGGAAAAGATGCAACTTTGTGCAACTTCATTTTATAATTTCCAACTAGAAATTGTTCTCCTTTCTATGGTTTTTGTAAGAAGTCAGACTGTCAGTCACCTAGATGAGAGCTGCTCTTGCAATAAGCCAAGTCAAGACTGGAACCTCATTTTGGGCCATCTGCAGGTGTAGAAAATTAACATTCAGAAGTTAATAGAATCATTTCCAAGTGATGGATTCGCATGACTTACATCATAATGTTTTTAGTTTCCTGTTGGTATTAGGTAATTTAGAAGATAGAATCCCTTGAACTTCAGTAAAATGAAAAAGCAACCTGAGAGAGCCTGAGAATTTCAGTAGTCTTGGCTTCAGAGTATCAAATTGCTATGCCTCATTTCACCAAAACCTTTTACATTCTGGTAGGCTTTTGTATGCCTATTATAGTGTGTCTTAAACACTGAACGAGGTTTTAAGGTTTGCTTCCTGAGATGGAAGTAATACATTGCTGCTTTCTTCTTTAAAAAAAATAAGGCAAGTACTGTACCAAAAAAAAAAAAAAAGGGGGGGGAACTTGAACGGAGTCCTATAAATGCAATGCTTATGGAAGCTAATCTCGTGCTGTTCCTGATCCCAGCTCACTTGCCCCCAAAAAACTGATTGACACTCCACTTCAAGCAAGGATTGTGACAAAGCGGATCCTTAGGTGAGAGTAACACTAGGTTATAACACTCTCTCTTTGATGTAAGTGCAGTTTTTTCCTAAGTACTGGCTTAGCACTTCTAATTGGAAGCAAGTGTTGAGGCATTTTGTACTACTTAATCTTGAATATCTTCCATTCCTTGGTTCTGATCTTTTTTTGACACAGTAATTTGATTGTGCCCTGGTACTCAAGAAACACTGACTTCTTCCCAGTCATTTAAGCATATATTTTTATAAAGCCTCAAGCTGAGGTTTCAGCTTGTTTTCTACGGTATCTTTAAGTGATTTGCTTTTCCAGCTAAACTAATCTGAAATTGCCACTAGATTTGTGGAGTTATGCTCATTGCCTATCTTGCATTGCCACTTGTGATTGACTGAGCTAATTAGGAAGGTTAAATCAGGAAGAGAACAAGTCAGTTTTTGTAGGTAGGGGTCTTTTAGTGCTGACACAGGAGGAGGACTACAAGAATAAGCTTTCTGATGTCAGCTGAAATTAAACTGACCAAACAATATTGACCTTAAGAGTGTTCCATAAGAAGTTGTGCTGACACAGCAACTTGCTGTCGGCAAAATGGGATGTTCTTATTGTTTTGCTCCATTTTTGATTGGAACTCTTCTGAGTTCCCTGCCACTTGTGTGTGCTAAGGCCAGTTATACCCATGAGCTGAATGACTTGCTGGTAGAGGGGAAACAATTCAGTTTTATGCTCTTCTGTAGTTTGACTTTGTCTTGTGGAAACAGTTGGCAGATTGTGGGAAATCAGTGGCTAGAAAGTGTCAGTATGGTCACCCTGTCTTGCCAGAAGTGTGCTGTTAAGTGCGTAACAAAAGGCATTGCTTTTGTAATCAGATTTGTGCATGCCTGCTTCATATAGAAAATCTAAATCTGCTGTTTATTGCAACAAATAACAAGCCTGTAAATGAGGAAAGCATTCTGTCATTCCATAGCATGAATACTTTGTTGTGTTAAGAAGATTGTCATATAATTCCTCAGTATCTTTTGTTTCAGTTAGTGGTAGAAACTTAATTCAGAATTGATATTGAACAGATTGTTATTATGGTCAGTATTGGTAATACCTAGTTCTGTGGCTTTTAATGCTGCAAGTGAGCCTTAGGGATCTTTTTGTTTTGTTTACTCTTTAAACTTTGTCAAGTTACATGAGTAGAGTCAGTGCCTTGCTGTTTCAGGTAAGATTCTTGACTTTATTGCCAAGCATGGCATTGGATCGCTCTGATCAAAAATCAGTTAGTGCATAGGGACTTAGCTGAAATTGAGTCATGTTGGTGCTTAAGATGGCAATTTCATTAGGCTGCGTGTGAAGCAGCACAGGACAATCTTATGTATTCCAAGGGAGCAAAAAGGAAAGGGAAGGCAGATCTGTAAAAACTTAGACAAATGTAAAGAAAAAAGTAAGAACCTCATGATGCTGTAATATATCTTGAGAAGCTGCAAAACATCTTGATTACTAAGTACAAAGTCTCTCCATAAGGTTTGTTGAGAATGACAGATTTCAGTATTGTGAATTTGAAGCAGAGGTCAGGCTTCAAGAGGAGGAGGGCTAGGCCTCATTAAAACAATAAGTGTATATCCTATGTGCCAGTATTTTGGATCAGTTAAGGACCTGAATAGTGTGCTCTTGAAGTGTCTTGTTCTTCAGAACCTTGTGCATTGTGAGCCTCTAAATGTGTTCTTTTGGAGGAGAGGTGTAGCTCCTTATTCAACTGCAATCTGTGAGTAGAATACTGGCTCTGAGGTGGAAGTCTTTATGTCAAAGAAAATACCTTAAGAGTCCTGAATATCTGCATGGTAATTAGCTTGCTAGTTTGAACTATCAGCTTGATTGATCGGCAGCTACAGCTAGTTAAATAATAACTGGATGGAGATGAAGAGGTACTGTTCCAGGTTAAATACATAGCATTGGCACTTCAGATTTAAACTATTTCTAGTAAACACTTTGGAGTCAATATACTGTTGTATGAGCTGTATGTAAGTTAAATTTTCTGAGTAGATAAGTTGATTTTTTTCTTTCTTTTGTCTTTGGAGTCTGAACATGTATCAGAAGATGAGATAAATGTAAAAACGTTCAATTTGGAGTAGTGATCTGTTAGGTCTATCTGCCTTGCTGGAGAAGGTGAAGGAAAATTATCTAACTGATCAACATTGTGTAGCTGCAAGTGTTTATGTCTATAAATATATATGGGTCCTGCTCAGTTCAGTCTGTAAATCTTAAAAATAGCAGCAATGAAAAAGTTTGACTTCTGAAAATATTAATGTAATTCATGTGAGAACACAATGTGCTTATGGCACAAATGAGCTGTTAGAAGGATTCCTTGGTGGGAAGATGGTTGAGTATTGACTTTTTAAATGTACCATGGTCATCTTTCTGTAGCTAAAGCCCCCAATTACTGGGAACAGTTGTCAAAAAAAAAAGGAAGCAAAAGAGCTCATGTGTTCAGTTATCTGGGATGTTTTTTCAGTTCAGTTTGTTACCTTCCTCAGAAATCTGAGCAGTTTTTGTAAGTTCACTTGTGGAGCTTTTTTGTACTGTGTTGTTTGGAGTTATACACAGCTAATCACTATGTTAAAGTTTAATATATGTTAAGAATCAGCAGATTTAACTGTTGCAAAAAGCTGATTGCTGAATGAAAGTGTGTTTTTCTTTGTTTAAATTACATTACAGAAATGGATATCCTGTACATTCTGAAATACATTTCACAAGTGTAACTTGTGAGCCTTATTTGTAAGGCAGAAAGCAATAGTCAAATACATTCCACAATAGTCAAGGAACATTCCACCTTATGTTTAAATGTATCAACGGCAGGTCTCAAAGGAGATGAAGTCTGGGCAGAATTCTGTGCATGCCAGTTGGTAAATAGTTGCCCTCTTTCCAGTGTCTGCCACAATAGTGTATTAGATAAGAGGCATGAGGAGAATAGACACAATGTTCTTGCATTACTTGTCATGGCAGATACTCTCTATATCAAACATGGGTTTTTTTGGTTTTTTTTTTTTTTTTTTACTTTTTTTTTTTCCCTCACCAGCCCTGCTTAGCAACTGATGTACCCACAATATTGGTCCAAATTTCTGGCTTAGTTTGACTTATTTGTGTAACTTCAGGTCTTCATACTATTGATGTTAGTCAGTAGTTTTATACTGAAGAAATCCATAGCTAAATCACTTTTTTTGGATGACTTCAGTGACTCAGAAATGGTTTGAACAATGAAAAAATCAATTGATGGGAAGCAGAAAGCTTTTAACAATGGACTCCTAGATAAAGGCATATAAAGACGTCTTCCCTGAGCACATGGCTTGCCTTTTGTGTGAACCTGGTGAGTGAAAAGGCAGTTCATGTCTCAAGTTGAATGACTTCTTCATGTTTAAGAGAATAGGGCTAATAAAATTTATACTTGACTTTTGCTTCATTGGTGAACTTCTTTAGTAACAGCTTGAGTACTAATTTGATATCTGAAGAGAGAATTGGAGCATTTGAAACAGCTCTGTTGAAATCTGAGCACGGGAAGAAGAAATACCATGTGGACTAAGACTTTGGTTCTTTATCAGGTTAGTTTGTTCTGAGAGAATTAGTGAGTGAAGTTGCTGGAGCATCTGTTTGGCAAAATAAGTTGTGACCCTTTGGTATATTGAATCGTTTTGTCCTAGTGGATTTCCTTTTTTGAAAGGAGGATGGTGTAAAATGCTGAGCTCAGAATGTAGTTGCTACTCTGGAAGGCATTTTAGGTATGAAACAGAAATACAACGAATCCTAAACAAACTCTTGACTATGCCTACTCTTGCATATTTACTGTCTGAGAGGAGATCTTGTGTGAAGACACCCCACTACACTGAAGCAGAAAGATTGCATATATGTGATGGTAAATGTCTTCATTAGGAGGTAGGGTAGGAAAGTTTAAGTTGAGGTCTTTGAGTGACTATCACTGTAGATGTGGAGTGGTTTATGGGGTTTTGATAGGGGCTTTTTTGTTTGTTTTTTTAATTGTTGCTTTGCTTTTTAAGCATTTCCTGGTATGGTAAGGGCTATAAAAGGGCTACTTATAAAAGATACAACTTAATAAATATTATTTAAGGAGAAACATGCAAGTGCAGTAGTTTAACTTAAGTTTTTGCTTGATGCTCTATATCAGTAATTAGACCGCCAAAAAGTACCATGTCTTTTTGGTAAATCTGAATTCACTAAATGTTCATATCTAGTTAAATTCCCAAAAGACTGTTATACCAGTTACACAATTGTCAGGTCATTTTTATATGAAGTTGTGTATTAGTGGTAGTATTCTCTGAAGAATGATTGATCTGTGCCTAGATTTGATATTTTTGCTTGAAATACGTTTCTGTAGTATTTCCACACTGTTGTGAATCAGTTATTCAGAAAAAAAAGCAGGGATTTCCTTCTAAAAAGGTAAACTAATTACGGAAGAAGGCTTACTGTGAAAACCAAGCGATATAACTTTCTTGTGTAGCAACTAACAATTGCTTTGTTTTTAGGTGCCTTAGCTGGACCAGTTGTCGATCCACACGTGACAGCAGTTTGGGGGAAGAAGGTTTCACTGAAATGCATAATTGATGTAAACGAAACAATAACACAAGTTTCTTGGGAGAAGATATATGGTAAAAGTTCACAGACTATTGCTGTTCATCACCCTGAATATGGAATATCTGTTCAAGAAGAATACCAAGGAAGAGTGGCATTTAAAAACTACTCACTTACTGATGCAACAATCATCTTAAAAAATGTAAGCTTTTCTGATGCAGGAGAATATATTTGCAAGGCAGTTACATTCCCACTTGGAAATACACAGTCGTCAACAACCGTAACAGTATTAGGTAAGTCAGCTTCTTTTTGAAAGGAAAATTCTTCAAACTTACTAGTAAGTTTATTTTACCATTAACCCAAAGAAATGCAAAATATGTGTTTGCTGGTCTTTCATTACAGGTGTGCTACTTTTACTAATGTCATAGAAGAGGCCTCTTTTGGGTCTTGCTTCTTTAGAACTTGTTATTTGAGTGTCTAGTTATTAAAAATAAGTAACCAGTTTAGGCATTATGCTGAAACAAACACTCAGTTTGTACTAGCACAATGTTCTAGGGCTTTGACAGACAATGCTGATACCAGGGACTTGTCTGTATGCACTGGAAAGCTGCTGAGCTTGGCTTTAGCTACTGCCTTGGCTAAATTCCCTCAGTACTGAATAGTCACTAGCCTTCTTCAGAAAAAGCAGGTATTTCTAAGCCCTGTTGATAAGTGGTTGTCTCAGTGAGTCATCTGTAATGAAGTTAGAGAGTTCCCAGTGAGGGTCGATGCCCCACACCTGGAAACAGTCAGATGGGACTCTGAGCAGCCTGGCGTAGTTGAAGACATCCCTGCTTACTGCAGGGGGATTGGACTGGATGACCTTCAAAAAGTCCCTTCCAACTCAATTCTATGGTTTTATAAATGTGCTGCTAACATGATAATTAAATATAACTGTTTGGGTCTGGTAATGCAAACTGTTCTTTGCACAGTACAAATGTAAAGCAAAACTATTTAGATAACTGCTGGGAGTTGTGGGAAGTAAGAGTCAATTTAAGCTCTTGACTGTTTGTGGATAGTCATAATGTGAAGCTTTTATAGACTTGGGGGTTTGTTTACATAATTTTGTCCCTCTTGTTGAGGGCTGAGTATTGCTGTGATAAGGAACTAGTGCTGAAGTGCAAGTAACCCAGGGGTTACTGCAGTGTAAGGTAAAATGATTACCCTGAATCTTGACAGACTCTTATTAACTTGCCCAGTCCTTACAGTTGTGTTCCTCTTGTACCAGTGTAAGGTACTTCTGTATGTCCTGCCAGGAGTCAAATGATATTTTCTGTAGCTGAGGTGGTTGTCTATGGCAATTTCTGTAACCAGATGTGCTTTTTATGATCATCTCTTGGTCTTTGATACCAGCTTTTCATAGTAGTAGAATACTCTGTGGGATTAATCAGATGGCTGTAGCACAGTATGTAAACTGACTTTCACCACAAGGGGGGGCAAAATAAATGCATCAAAGCAACTGGCTTAATCCAATTTGAAACCAGTAACTTGACCAAAATTCTGTGTGATGCACCAAGCATGTGGTCTTATGACTCTTTTTCACCTGACTTCCATCTGTACTGCAAGTGGCTATGTCTGTGGTTATCGTAGCAGCCTTTTGACTTCAGATTTCAGTTACTGTGCTTTACCAATAAACAGTGGGAAGTTCTTTTACCTCCCCTCACCTTTTCTAGTCAGTTCCTCTTTCTAAGATTGTTTTTTTTTTTTTTCAGGTAGAATTAGTAATTTTGTCCATTTTGCACTCATAATATCAGGAGGAACTTGGGAGGCACATGTATATCCTATGTGCTTATTATTTCACATTGGAAAGAGTAGAGGGACCACAACTTGTTTCATAAAATATACGAAAAATTGCACTTGAAATAGACCAAGAAGTATTAGTCAGGCATGCATTGACTCTGATCTTTGCTTTTTTCATCATTAATGTAGATGGTTGGCAATTGCTGTCAGTCTCTCAGGACTTGGTATCAATCTCTAAATGGCAAAACCCAGATGTTATTTGCAAAGCTTCACTTGAATGTACCACTAGGTAGCCAGCCGTCTGTTGGACTTATGTTCTTTGGCCTTAGTGTATTTTCTATCCTTTTAGAAACTTTTTGCTACACTCTCTTGTAGGGTTAAATTTAAAAAGTACGGGGGAAGTAGTGATTTTTCAGAATGTGCTTGTAAATTAATAACTTGGGAACTTTGCTGGCCTGAACTCAGCAATTCCAACTCGTCAGAATCTTAAGGCATGCAATCGCTGTAATTTAAATCTTGATGTAACTTAAAATCATCTTCAATGATGCATTGACTGCGTTTTCCCACTGGTCTAAAAAAACTCTCCCTTAAGTAAGGAAAAAAGTTCCTGTCCTAAGGCTGAGGCTGTTTCCAGTTGAAGCAGGATAGCCTTTTTTCCTAGTCCCTGTCTGTTCTTGTTTAGCAGAGAATTAGTTTCCTTCCACATGGGTAGTGGACATACTTAGTCATGCACTAGATGCTTTTACACTGTAAAGTGGAGACACTGAAGATAAATGGAACAAAAATAATAACTACAAGATGAAATGAAATGCCCTGTGTTTTGCCACACTGCACTGATTGCTTAAGACCATATCTAAAACCTCTTATGAGCCCCAAGTTTAACAGACTAGCCATGGTTGGTGACTTTGCCCACTGCCAGTTTGCTTTGTTTAGTGCTTCATGTTGTCTTAAAGAAATGTACTGTAAAAGGAGAGGTTAAGACAGTGGAAATATGAAAATGCTTTTAGGGTCAAACAGATATATTGACCTTTTCTCAAACTTTGGTTTTTCAAACTTACCTTGTTAAGCTTGTGCAGAAAATGCCAAATAATTTCTGTGTCAAGCTGTTGGTTTCCCCAAGATGCTGATCAAATGAGGCAAAGTGGTGTCTCAGGGCAGAAGAAATGGCTTGTCCACAAGGTGGCTTGCAGAGCTGACATAATTTTTGTTCTTAACCTGAGTGCTGTCCATGACTATTTTAAATACTTGATTTTGGTTTAACTCTGTCTTGCTAAGTTGGAGTTCTCATCATGGGTATTGATAAAGTAGGTCTTGTTCCTCTGCAGCCTAACTTAGCAATGCTGCAAGTGAGGAGTGAGAGTACAGAAAAGCATCAAAGGTGTAGGTCTGTCACCATGAATTAGATCCCAGACATTCTAATGCAGGAAGTCTTCCAGTTAGGAATTAAAAGATGATGGATGTCAGGCACTATAGATACTGGGTTCTCTCAGACAGTTCTGATGAAGTAATGGTAGTCAAGAAGTGCTGATTGATGAGATGTACATGTTCTTCTTAGCTACCACAGAATATTGTGGGCCAATAAAAAATATCAAGTAGATGGCAAATTAGTGAACTGACTGGCCTTAAAAAAAAAAACAAACCAAGCAAACCCCTCCAAAAACTACTAAAACAAGAAAACCTGAAGTTTATAGTTAAGCATTAATTAGCAAACAGGATAAAGTACACAGAAAGATGAAGCTTCTGGTTTTGAGGTGAGAGAAAATAAAAATTTGAAATACTCTTTTGGAAAGAAATTCATCAAGTGCATGTCAGTTGTGATGAAGGGGATTGCAATTCCCAGTGTCATGCTATTGCCAAGGAATTAGTGAATTTAATGTCAGGAGGAAATAATCCTGTTTGTGGTGTAATCATGCCAACTTCATCCAGACCTCCTGTGCCCAGTGTGCACAGAAAAATAGTTTTAAACTTAACAGAAGCAATTGAAAATACTTAGAAAGTACATGAAAACCAAGAAGCAGCTTTTTGGCCTCGAATCTTAAAGCACTAGGATTTAAGGCTCTTGTCTGGATGCTGTATTATGTTCTTCTTCTGTAAAGAAGAACTTGAGTAGTGAGAGATTTCTGATATGTCCATGTTGAATGTAAGGTGAAGGTAGAATAAGCTGGGTTAAATTAGGTGGTGGTGGTGAGTCAGTAAAACGAATTTGCCACAGATTGGCAAATTAGTTGAGACATTTTGAACATCTACACATCTAGCTTCCATGCTTCAGCCATCCTGTCTTTAATATTCAAGTATAATTCATGCCATAATACTGCTTTAGATGGAACTCTTACGCTGTGGAAGTAGGTCCTGCTTTTGGATCTTGGGGGATCAGTGGCTTCCTTTTCCACACAAAGCATTTTCCTCACCATCTTTTACATTTGGCCTGAACAGAGCTCAGTGTTTGTATGGAGTGGGTGTAGCAGCTTCTCTAACACTCTCCCAGCTGCCTCTTGGGTCCTCCACCACTGTGAGCAGAGAAAGTGAAAATCACATTCGTGTGGTGCACTGAATGGTCCTGGGATAAGAGGACTGCATATAGAAATTACACTTTCAAAAACCAAAAACTTTCTACCAAAAAAATTCTAAAGCCCAACCTTAGGTAATCTCCTTTCCCAATTGAAAATGGTAAAACTTTTTCACACTGAGAGACACAAGATGCCATGACCCTTGTGATTACAGATTCATTTACCAGATAGTTCTTAATCCATAACTGAAAAATTTAGAAAGGCCATAGAAAAGTAGTCCTGAATGATAAGGTATAGAAATAAGTGTCCTAACAGCAGTTGCTTTCCATTTTTCAGTACATGGCTATTTAGTTATCTTGCAGTTAGTGTGTGGTACAAGAGTCACAATTTATGGGAAGATGTGACAGTAGAAAGTTAAACATTTGTGATGTATAAAAAACCTAAAGCATGGAAACACATAGGACTGGGAATAAGTATATTTTATGATGCTGAGTAGTTTTGAATAGCTCACCTTTGAGTCTCGTTGACAAGTGTAAAACCAAATATTACACAATGAACTTAAACTGACAACTCTCTCATATCACTTGAGAAACTGGGTTTTTAAAATTAGTCTATAGTGTTTCTTTGGCTACTTGAAGATTTCTTTTTCTAAAAGTACAGTACTGAGTAGTCTGCTTTGGGTCTGGACATCTCTTCAGCTCAGTTAAGAGTTTTTATTTGTTTATCTATCCCTTCACAAAGAGGTGGAGGAAAAATTGTGCAGTTGCATACTTTTTTTTTTTTTTTTTAAGAAAAATCAAAGGAATAGAACATATCAAGCTTTTATTTCCAGCTGAAATTAATGGAGTCTGCAGTTTTGGCATGAACTGCTAATGATAGCTGCTAATTTAATTGATTTTACTGTTATGGAGATGATGGGAAGGGAGGAATACAGCAAAAATCAGAATTTTCATGCATGTAAAATTCTAAATATAAATTTGGATGCTTACTTCTGCATTTTGGTAATACTAATGAAACTATTGAAGAAGTCCCTACCAGTGGTTTGGGGAGAAGAAGGTAGTATGTTAATCAGGAAAACCAAATTGTGGGTCAAATAACAAAGCTATATAATGTCAAGTTCTCCATACTAGGTTTTAAAGGCTTTTTTTGCACATGAGACAATATTTATGCACATGTACATCAGTTCAGATATAAACTTACTGCAGAAAGCTCTAGCTGTTGATAGTGTTAGAGAGCAGGGAATCAGATTTTGAAAGAAGCTGTATTAGAAATGCTTCAGATCTCAAGAAGAGTGAGTGTACAACTTGGCAGAAAAAAACTGCTATTGGTTTATTTTTGGTAGGGTAACTAACAAATCTCAGAGGGTAGGCATTCATAGAGACAAAGTAGAAAATAATTTGCTCTCAGTATCTGCCCAAACAATCTTCAGTTTCATAACAACTTGTACTCTTCAAGCATTTCTAAGCACAGAACAGAAAACACACATTTTAATAAGGTTATCCATTTAATACTTGCCTTTTCCTTTACTGTAATTGAGCAAATAATAAACCAACTTGTTCAGACATAAGCAGTGTTAGAAAACAGTCAAAAACTGATCCTGTTACTGAATGGGCTGAAGCTGAAAATATTTGTTACCCAGTTATCTTTGGAAGTTATAGGTAGTTGGAGAACTTGCCAGGTACAGTGAACTTTGCTCTATTCTGTCACAAGATGTGTCTGTGGGTCAGCTTCAGTTTATTGGAAAGAAATTCCATGAACTAACTTTTCTCCTTCTGATACTGAAAGGCACAGAAGTTGCAAGACTTGTCTCTGCTTTGTGATTAGTGAGGGCTGATCCACTGAGGTGGATTCTGAAGCATTATGGTGAGTAGCAATGACCTTCCATCAGAGGACTCCAGTAGCCAGATTAGAGCAAAAGCCCAGGATTGTGGCATAGGCTGCTACACTACTGCAAACCTGTCCCTTACAGAGCTGGTGACACAAATGGGTATTCTAAAACAGCCCAGCCATGGTTTGTATCTGAAGCACCAGGTAGCTTTTCTGACTTGGGCTGCAGCTGGTGGGTGGCTTGGCCAAAAGTGATTTGCTAAACCAGAAGGAAATTTCTTGAAGGTTTTTTAATCTATGGCGCTCAGCAGTAGACTTGTACATGAGGAACGCAACTTCCTTGTAGAAAGAAGTGTGTTCTCCAAGTTTTTAAAATTTTGGGGTGAGCAGTAGCTTTACAAGAAGGTCACATCCTTCCATTGTTATATTTCTTTAGTCTTAGTATTGAGTTCCAGTTTTCTAACTCTTATGGGGATTGATGCATAAGAGTGTGTATATCTATAGGCAAAATTTTATTCATATATAAACCAATGAATTTTATTTTGTTATTGTAATTTTATTCATATATATTACTTTATACATAGAAAACTCAAATTTTCTATACAATTGTGTATTTCTGTGTACATATTAGATCCTTTATTCAATGCATGGTGTGTGTGTATATAATAAAGATGCAGCATGGAAGTTCTTTGTATTGTAGCCATCAAGAAAAGCTTAAACTCTTAGTGTTGGGTGTTAGAACACTGAAGTAGCTTTCAAGTGACACAAACTGACAGTATAGATTAATTCTTGAACACTTGAAAATGCAGCAGAATCTAAGCTTTTTCAAAAAGACTGCAGTGTAGCTTAACCTAATACCTTAAGCTCTCTGTCAGACACTGCAACTGGAGCACTGCAATTAGTGTTTTGGACTTAGAGCACTCTGGATTTCCCTGTCAGTGCATTAAAAGTGAATGAACAGCACTGTACTTGAATGAATGGACAAAGGGGGATAGTGTCAGAGGAAAAAAAAAGCCTTGTAAAGCTATCATCTCTTGAGATATGTGTGGTCTTATATCTAGGATGTCTGATTAACATGAGCCTTTGCAAATTGATTTGGTCTTGCCTAACTTTTAACTAGTGACACTTCCAAAGAAGTGGAGTTCTTGTTTAAATCTCCTTTTATTTTTTCCTCCCCTCCTTAGTTGAACCTGTTGTGAGCTTAACAAAAGGACCAAACCCTCTAATAGATGGTGCAAATAGGACAGTAGCAGCCACTTGTACAGCAGCCACTGGAAAACCTGCTGCACAGATTGACTGGGAAGGAGGCCTTGGTGAAATGGAATCCACCTCTACTTTGTTTCCAAATGAAACAGTGACAGTTGTAAGTCACTATGTGATTGTCCCTACACGATTTGCAAGAGGAAGACACATAACCTGCGTTGTGAGGCACCCTGCCTTTGAAAAGGAGCTGCGATACCCTTACGTGTTGGACATACAGTGTAAGTATTCAGTGAGGTAATTATTCCTGGTATAGATCTTGCAACCTCCCCCTTAATCTGTGTGTACTTCCACAGGAAGGAAATGAGCACTTCCTGCTTCAGGAAAATAAAGATAGAAACTGTATAGAAAAGCTGTGATCAGAGGCAGGTCAGGCAGGAGTAAAAGCCTAGGGTCTGTATTGAAAATGAAGCCATGAAGTTAGAATACTGTTACATTTCTACTGTTTTGGATGTTGAATCATGGGTAAACCTGAGAGTTGATCCATAAGCATAAACATAAATTGATCCATTTCAGCAGTATTAAAAAAGAATACTAATGAAGATTCATATTTGAGATGCTAAGTTGAACATAGGTAGTCTTGTGGTAGTCAATAAGTTATTTTCAGATTATTCACCAAGTTTTGTCCACTCTAACTAGTGTAAGGAAACAAGAACATAATACATACACGCCTAGCATTTGTTATTCAGCTTCAGATTGCTCATATAATTCAAACCTATACCAGGCTTCTTTAAAAAATGTATCGCTTTTAAAAGATGTGAATGCAAAGCGAGGTGGCTTATAATGTTGCTTAGTTAAAACCAGTTAATACAAATAAGCTTTAGGCATGTAGTCCCTTTTTGTTAGACAATGCATATATGAACAAAACCAACTATTTCTGTGTTGTTCCTTTGGTGTCCTGTTTTGGCTGTGTGCTGCTTTAAAGTTCCTAAACACAGAAGTCTGTCAGTTCAAGTAGAACAAATATAGGGGCTAGAAAAAGTAGATTTGGCTGTTTTGATTTGACTAGAATTTGATTTTGGTTTTGTTCTGTTTGGTAAAGAATCACTTATTTTGGCATAAAATAATGATTAGCATTGCTTTATTTTATTGATCTTGAAATCAAGTTCTAAATTGGGGGGCCACCGATACAGAAATAAAACTAAGGAGTATTTGAATTATCTCAAACAGTGAATAAAATAATTGTTTCCTATTGAAAATGAAATGAGGATGCAAGCTGGACTTAATATTTTCATCTGAGATGAGTGTTAATGCATGTTTCAGAATTTCTAACAAAGCTGTATAGTAAGGTACACAGCAGCAATTGAGAAGCAGTGTGTGTCCTTCAGTCTTCCCTGACACTTATTAGCTTTTGCAACTGCTTCTCCATCTCAGCTCCAGAGCTTATCCCAAATCATGCTGGTTCCTTGACTTTTGAATATTTTTCCAAGGTCTCCCTGAAATAATCTCCTGGCTTTTTGGAGCCATAACATAATTCTACATTTTGTTGGATAATTTAATCTTTATAGTTGGCATCTGTGAACTTTTTGGTGATTTCCTGATTACCTGGTTTCTCCCAAGGTTCTTTCTGTTCCTTTGCTGTATCTTTTTAATGAGTAGTGGTTCTAAGTTACCATTCCTCACTTCCCCAAAGCATGAAACTGTTGGGTTTTTTTCTGAAGTCCTCTTGCTTCCTCAAGGTGCTGTGTGGTTGCTGAAAACACACTGGGAAAGTTGCACCAATTAAAACAATTTGTTCACTGCTGCATATTAATGTCGTAGCATGGAACTATATCATGTTTTCTGTATATTTTGGTAGTGGTCTTTAATAACAAAAAGGCAACCAACAACTAAAGCACACATTCCCCTAAAAAAAAAAAGTAAAAAGTACCCTTCTGTTCTATTGATCTTACATGCAATTCATTTTTAATGTAAAAGTTGTGATTGTTCATAGATAATCTTTTTTTGTCAGATGCCCCAGAAGTTTCAGTAACTGGCTATGATGGAAACTGGTTCATTGGAAGAGGAAATGTTCAGCTCAAATGTAATGCTGATGCAAATCCACTACCTATGGAATTTATGTGGACCAGGTAAATATTTATGGAAAGGGACTTGCCACATGATTCAGTCATGTGGCATGGTATAATCACTTTGCTTACAGTAAATGCATGTTTTGAAAACAAAGAATATATGACTTGTATTGGTTGTAATGGTTTTATCCAGCTTTTTAAAAGGAGAGTACAAGATGTATGTTTGTATGAATACAGGTGAGAGGATATCTTGTAAATTTATGTACCTAAACATAAATTTACTTTTGTCATTACTCTCAGGGTAAAGTCTCTTTAGTTACTCGAGGCAGATGAAACTCTGTGTGTTGCAGCATGTAGAGCAAAGACCACTAAATCTAGTAAGGATCCAAGTATTTACATATGCTTCTAATGAAAAAATTTAAAAGCTTACATAGCATCCACATTTCATGAATCTGTCGACTGCTAACCCCATCTCAGGCTTAGCTCAAAATCACTGTGATGAGAAATTGCAGCATATAAAAATTCCTATGTTTAAAAAAAAACTCCTAACAGCAGTACCATTTGCTTCTTCAGATGCACTGGGTTCTCAGTTCTCTCATTTGAATTTGAAACATATGTAAGAACTAACCAATACTACCAGTTTTCACAATTCTAGAAGAAATAAACCTATTTTAATACATTTAAAGCCATTCAAGCTTCAGAGATGACAGTTAGATTTCCAACATTAAAATGGAACCAACTTTTACAGGAAATGTAAATTTTTCTGGAATAAACCTGGTGTACCTTTCTGAGCAACAACAAAACCCATTCAACAAGTTGTAGTACTGGTGAATGAGGAGCTTCATGTGTAGGGAGGGAATCCATGTAAAAGAAGGGTAGCTTGAGCTTGGAGAAATGAAAGAAGTATTGTGTTGAACTGTGTGCTGTTTGGCTGCTGTCAGATTGCAATAGGTTGTAGAACTGCCTTTCCAACCAGTTGTATCCCTTGGAATCCTAGATGATATTGTATTTACTGGGATACAGAAATATTTATGGTTAGTAATATTTTTTAAGTGTTTGAATGAAAATTTTATTAGAATAGAGATTTCAAATCAGTTGACTGTTTTATAATGTTTCTTGAAATTAATATTTCTGGTACTATGAATTATGAAGTATGTGCCTGATGACTTTTATCAGCTTTATGTGGCTGAAGCAATTCTGGGCAATAATCACAGCAAAGAAGTAGGAATGTTGTCTTGAACCCCATTTTTTGAAGACTGCATTTAGTGTTAACTGTGAAGGGTTTTTCTTTTCCTTTGAGTCTTTGTTTTAAAGTGATGGGTGCCTTTTTGTTCAATACTACTTTAAAAATCACGCTTACTAAATGCTTTCAAGATATTGTCATCTAGTGATCTAGTTTGAATATTGATTTAGGCCTGCTTAGCTGTTAATAGGTACTTAGATAAATCAAAATGGGTTTCAATGGCGTGAGATTACACAGGTGTTTAATGGGCAGTTGGCAGCCCTGGTAATATAGTTCCAGGGCCTTTTGCCCTTCCCCTTTTTCTCTTGTGTTTACACAGTTGTTACTGCGATCTCAGGCAGAATTGTACAGGGAAAGGATAGACTTAGAAAAGTCAGTTGATTAAAAAAAAAAAATTGACCAGTTGTTTCCCTAAGTGTATCACCAAGTACCACATTCCATTTCAGTGCGGTAATTTAGACAGAGAAGTGATGGGAGATGAGAAAAGGCAACTCAGGAGAGGAGAAACTGCTTGAATTCTTGCTCAGAAGGTCTAGTCAAAATGTCCTGTAAGTTAAGCATGTATGGACAGAAATAATTGCAAATGAATGGGCAGCTAATTCTGACAGCAGAAGTGCTTCTTAGTCAGACTGCTAGTTTTCAGAGCTTGGATTGTCTTCTTCCTCCAAGTTCTTTTGAGATGCTGTTTTCTTAGCTGTAGTAGTGATGATTTTAGACAGCTTGCTAGTTCCAGCAGATATGACATTTAAAGGATTTGGCCCAGAAATGAAATACTAAATAAATCTTCAGGTGTACACTGAAAATATTGAAGGAAAGCCTACTGGAAGTGTCAGAGCACAGTGAAAAATTCATTCCATAGATTATTGCCAGTATTATTTTAAACTAGGTGTAAATGTACACATTTGAAATATAACTGTTCTTTTAGGTTGGATGGACAATGGCCTGAAGGATTGTTGACTGTTAACAATACTCTGCAGTTCAGCAGCCCTTTGACTTATAACTACACTGGGACTTACATCTGTAGGGTGACTAATGCCCTTGGTCAGAGAAGTGATCAGAAGACTATCTACATATTAGGTAAGTCTTACTTCTTATCAGAGACAGTATGTTAACTTGGAACTCTTTATTTGTCAGTGATTGAATTAGCAAACTGAAGAGCCAATTGTTGCATGAAATATATTAAATATATAATTTCTTTGTGTGAAAAGCCGTTGAAAGTGTGGATTTAAAAGCTAAAGCACAATTTGGGATTAAACTGACTCTTGAATAGCAACATATAGTGGAAATTCTTACAGTTGAGGTGCTTCTGAAATGATTTTCTCTTGGTAGTTAAACTTATGTTTTTTGCAGTGTTATCCTATGTTTGATAAGACATACTGACTGCAATAAACAGTACCTTTTCTGTAATAAATTGAGAAAACAGATGTTGGTGGAAGGGAGCAACTGCATTTAGAAAAGCTAAAGATGCTGTTTTAAGGGTTATGTTCTGAATGTGTGCATTTTACACCAGTTACCTGTGTCATTTTCTTGGGGTGCAGATACCCAGTAATCATCAAGTGAAATATCTCATGCAGAACTCTCGATGATCTACTTAGTACAATGTAGCAAATTTGTGTGTCTGTAGTACTACTGCTGTTGGAACACTCATTCTAGTATCATTAATGCAATGTAATTAATGTTTTGCTGTGACACCTTTTTTGTGAAAGGGCAGCATGACTTACAGTAAATGTGAATACTTCTGTACAAGTGTTAAAAAACTGTTCAGATTTCCATAAGGGATTAAGTAAATTAAGTTAAACTCTAGCTTGATCAATAAATGTTAGTATTATAGGGTTTTTTAAGGAAGATAATAGACATGAAAATTAAAACTTCATTCTGTTGTATTATGTTGCTGCTTTTCATTAAGCAAATCAAGTGTTAGAGCACATGTTGGCCTGTTAGAGGATACAGAGATGATGGATACAAACGTAGATGACTTTGTTAAAACTCCATATGAACCCTTAAGAGTTAAAATGAGAATGAGAATTTAAGACAAAACTTTAAGTACAAGATGTTTGAAACCACATCAGTCAGAATTCACTTTTGACAGTTTTCTGCATCTTTAGAATGAATGAAAATGTTGCAGTCAGTGATATAACCACACTGTAGGCCACTGTGGAAACCTAGTAACTTCTAATAAATTGTCTAGTCAATGAGCTAGTTAATTGGAAACTTATAAATAATTTGAGACAGTTGAATTAGTTGTAAACTACTTAATAGCTAAAATTTTATATCATTTAAAAGACTTCATGTGCTGCCAATTGTTACGCAAGTTATTTCTGTGAGAGTTACTTTTGGATGTTTTACATGGTTCTAATGCTGCTTCTATGGAGAAGACTTCATAGCTGCATGGCAGTCTCAAAACAATTACAAAAACTGGCACGTTATAAGAAATAACAATTAAAAAATTAGAATATCATCATTAAATAGGGTGAAATGTTTGACTAGAATGTAACTTTCAAATATACTTGCTCAAAAAATAATGCAGTTTATAGCTCTCTTCTCAGCCCTACTGTAACTCTAAGGAGTGGGGAGACGTTCTTTCAAGTCCACTATTATTCAAGTTGTCAGTTCTGTGAATATCATGTGCTGTAAATAGACCTCATGCTTTGTACTGTGACTACATGCTCATGCATGAAAATTAAAGGCTGTCATTCAAATTACACTTTCAACTAACAGACTAAAACAGGCCAACCAGGAAATCATAGATAATATTTCCTAAAATTTTGAAAAGCAGCATGGGCATACAGGCTAGCTGGGCAGTGGTGTTGGTTTATGTTCTAGCCTAATGCAAATGTTACAGAGTTTAAACCAGCTCAGAGCAGAGATAGTTAAACTGCACGGTTGGCCTTTGCTGTGTACTGATGGACCCTGTTTATATGTGTGCTGTTTTTCAGCTGTGCTCAGCAACTTTGTTGTCCTGTAGCAATTTAACTGCAATTAGCAAACCTTAGCTTTTTTCTGGGAGCTATGAAACTGAGCCTCACTTAGTGCAGAATCATACAGGGTCATGGTTCTGCCTGTTAGGTGCACCAGTAACAATAAAGGTTTTAGCTGACAGTAAATTTCAGTCTTTTAAAGTTTTATATTGATCATGCTGACAAAATGATTAAAAGCACTGTGTACAAACTTTTTGTATATAGGAGACTTGATAAAAATGGGAGAGGTGAAGCAATTATTAGTGTAACACCTATATTGTTTTCAGAAACAAATGCTAAGCACACTTTATTGTAACTCTCAAGAATAACTTCAGAGTGACTGGTTCTTTAAATAACTGAAATGCCCTTAAATGATGTAGGATGGGCAAATGACTAATTATCAATCCACTTACCACCTTTTAATATTTCACTTAACTCACCAGGTATCTATTAATGGTAAACATGACAGTGATGTACTGTAGAGCAATAAGCTGAAATAATCAATTAGCTTTTTTTCTCTCTTTGCTCTTAGCCACTGTATAAAACTTGGCATAAAATGTGAAGTGAAACTTGGAAGCTAACAGACAAAGCTGCGTAATCACACCATCTTTCAAATTTTAATTATGAAGCTGTCAAAAAGGATTTATGAAGTTAATGTTCTGAACAGTCACCATGCTCGTAGTTGTTAAGCTTTTTAACTGAAAAAAAGAACCACCTATTAAGTTGAAATGTGTTGTAAGTTTGGAATGTGAGCTGAACAAAAAGTTGGGTTTTGTCCTGATATTCATTGTTTAAAAAGTCAAAGCTATATTTTTAGTAAGTTCTGTTGTTCTCCTAAACTTTAATATTCTTGAAGTGAAATACAGAAATGAAAGAGAAGTAGTTGACAGGAACTAAATGGTAAATTCAGCTTTCAGTTTCAGGAAATTCTGCATATTTATATGAATAGAGAAACACTCAAATGGTGTTTGAAGCCCTCTTTATATATTGCTTTTAAAGCACAGCTATCATTGCTATTTTTATTAATTAATTTGGTATAAAGTTAACATTTCCATAGCTGTCCAGCAAAAGCAAGTCATGCTCCTCATGGAGTTCAAGTATTGAAGTAACAGTTTTCCAAAACAAGCTGTCAGCTTGAGATATAAAACACTTCTTCGTACAATATTGATTTACTCAGTTTTCTTACACAAGGAATTGAACTTTGTTTTCTTGGCTCTGTGTTCCTTCACCTTCATGCTGTTTACTGAGGCTTTCCCTTTCTCCCCTTGTAAGGGAGAGGTGACCTGTGAGACTCGAAATAAGGTGGGAACATACTTCTTCTGTCATGCCAGTCTTTGGAAGAGATGACTTTTGTTCAAGGTAAAGCCGGCCTTTGTTAGGCAGCAATCCTAGGAAGGTGTTGTTTGTAAGTACAGGGTCACCTTCTTGTAGAGTGGACATTGTGAGGATTAACTTAGCAAAGACCGATCATTGGTTTTAGTTTTTGCTGCTTCATATACAAACCTCTGTTCTGAGAGGCCTTGTGAATACAGGCACTCTTTTATTTTCTAAATTACACATTGGAAGAGATGTTGACAAACTGCTCTTTAGCAAAGGGCTTTTGCTCCCTGGTCTAGCAGGCTTTGAGTTTCCAGTGGTTTTCCTGAATATTCTTCCATGCTGGAGGTTATGTTAATAGTAAGTTTCTCTTGTGTCCCAAAAAAATACCAAAATCTTTTATTTGGTGCATGAAAATCCCAGCTAGAAACCACAAAAGCACAGTCAACTTTGAAAGTAGATGATTGGTGAGAGAAATTGTTGGTACCAATCTTAGTATTATGCTGCAAAAATAGGGGTGGGGGGACACACACTGAAAATAATCCTAAGGAAAATGTTTAGCTCCAGTGTGGAACCTTTGTAGGCAAGACACTGTGGGGAGAGTGTCTTGCAGTGTCCTCACCAATTACTTGACATGAGAGTAGCAATGGTTGGAGAAAGAGAAAGAATGATAAATTTCAAAATCATTTACTCTCAGACATTTAGAGTCTTCGTCCATGGAAAGCTGACTTTCCTTGCTGTCATAAAGGAGTTGCTACGTAAGCTTTTCAGCAGTTGAAAGAGCCAATTTTTAAGACCCAACTACACAGAATTATTATTTAATTTTTAAGTACTTAACTTATTTGAGGATAATTTAGCAAGAACAGCAAGTTAAGACACAGTAGTATGTATGTATCTGCAAACATACAAGTAATACATACACAGGCAAATATTTGCCATCAATAAAATATGTGTAAAGAGAGATCTTGTAACTTGTGTAAAGCCAACTCACTTTTGGATTAGAAGTAATTGATAGCTGGTCCTTGTCTTGTCAGAGGCTAAAAAAGGGGACATTTGTATTGTGAATGGTGTGGGATTGATTTTTTCAAATAGGTAGAACTATTTTTGGCCACTCTGTGGCTTTTGGAACCAGACAGACTTTGACTGTCTATGTTAACACACAGCAACTCTCCAAGGAATCTTTCCTTCCAAGACTTTGTTTCTGTAATGCTTAAAGGACAAATTTTAACGCAAGGAAATTGTGCCAGTATTGAATTATCTTGCCTGTTGTAGCTTACTTTACCTCTCAAATGCTTCATAGTGGGCTAAATCCAAAATGGTTCATGGTTTAAGAATATTGTGTTCTCTAGTTGACTTTTTACCATGATAAGCTGATAATACCAGGACAGAACTTAAACCTAAGACTTTGAAGATAGTGGTCTGGTTTTTAGGGATGATTCATCCAGCTCTTTCAACCTCCATCTCTCTGACACTTGGTTTATTGTTGGCTTTGAATTGGCACAAGAAGCAGAGGTGAGTCCCAGACATTTGAAGGATGTGGATTGAAGTGGGGACATGTAGTGTTTGGGACATGAAACATGTCATGTTAGTTGGATGCCTTTACTAAACTTAGTGGTAGAAACTCCCCTGCCCAAGATAAGCTGTTGGTATTGTAAGAGCTGAGAAAACTATATCAAGATTAGTCATTGAAGGGAAAAAATAAAAATATCAAGCTGACACTGTTGAAAGTTGGTATTGACTTTGATGGGAAACATCTGGAAAATAATTAAGAGTGTGAAAACTAAGCAGTGCACAGGGACTGTGGTCCTTTGAGGTGGTATCAGAGTTTTATTTGAAGTCAAGAGCAAGTCTTGCTTTTATTGGCAGAAAACTGTGTCAAAGGCTTTGAAACCAACTAGGAAAACTTGGCTTCTTTGTGTATGGAAAGAGCCAATTGACTTGCTATATTCATACCAGAAAATTGGGTTTTGCTTTCTTCAGTTATGTCTCTTATTTTAATGGGCGTGGTAGCTATGTAAAAGTAGAAGAAATTTTGTTGGGGGTCTTTGCTTGTCCTCATCATTGTTGCAGGGTACATGTAATATGGATTTGAACAGGGCCCAGAACCTAGTAAAAGACAAAAACTGAAATCAAGATGCATTTAAACTGAACCCAAATATTTTCCAGAATTTCTGCTACTTTCAGCACCCTGACCCACATGGATATTTTAATATGTTGTGCTTTGTGCAACAACAGAAGCCTACATCAGTGAAAGAGACAAGCTGTTAAACATTGGGTCCAAAGTAAAATGTTGAAGGAAGTTATCACTAGGAAATGGTTGCTTTTGAATAATGTGCCATATAAAGCAAAATTTAAATGAAGCCCTTAATGTTTTGTGGAAAGCATTAAGAACTCAAACATGTATTAGTGAAATATGTGAAATGTTATCGTTAAAGAGCTTACTGAGATGAAATACTAGTCTTTCATAGCCACAGATAAGAGTGGCATTGTCTTAGTTTGGAGATGGCATTTGAGATGTGATTTGCAAGAAAAATGTCATGAGGTAGACATAAAACTTTGGCATTCCTCATCTTCAAGTTGTTTTCTATTTGAGAAACTTGCTTGGTACAGGAAGTAAAAGAAAGTTAGTTTTACATTTAGAAAGCTCTGGATACCATCAGAAGTAAACTCGCATATTCTTAGTTGCAATTGGCCTTATAAACAAGAAGGGACAGTTTTAATTTAGTCATTACTCAACAATAAAAGGTACCACAATAAATAAACCTTAGGTATATCATATGTATTGCAGGAATGCATATAAACACATGCTTAATTGATCCTGTTTGCAATTTATTTAATATGTTAATTAGTGCTTGTTGGTGATGCAACCTGACAACTGGTGAATGAATGGGAAGTTTTGAAGGAAAAAACTCGTTGTAAAACATTGAATTTCTAATATATGAATAAGATTGTAATTGCCACTGTGCTTATTTCACATATGCAATGGTCAAATTTGCAAGGATGCAAATACTTGTGGATGTGGAGGGATAGGATTTATGACCTCCATATCAGAGGCAGAACAATTACAAAGACAGTTAATTAAAGCCAAACAAGTATATATAACTTAGAAGGATTTTGCCGGTACTGTTTGAAATTGTGTTTTAAGGTCTCAAATCTTGTATCTAAAGCAATACCTTTTCAAGGAAGAGGGATTTGAACTTCATGACCTAGGAGTGTGTGAGACATAGAACCCTGGTAAACTTGGATTCCTTAATCTCTACTTCTTTGTTAAATTATCAAACTCACTTTAAATCAGTTTTTACTAAAATCATAATCTGAATCATAATTCCTCTTATTCATTTTGGTAGTGCATCTTTCTTGTTCAGTTTCCTGTCTTCTGTCAAATTAATTCAATTTATGTATAGTTCCCTAACGAACCATCACTTTTTACATAGTTAAGGAATATAATTATGCCTTTCGAAAATCTGTGTAAAACTTATGTCATGCTTAAAATGTTGCATTCTGCAGCAAGGTGTGTAGTAATCATGAGAAATGTGAGAGTTCTGTCTAGTATGAGAAAATTGTATGTCTGTCTCTGAGTAGTGAGATTAAAAATCTTGTTTATGGCTATTTAGTTGTGATTTGTCAAATAACTGAAAGCTTGACAGAGCTCTAGTTCTGTCTGGTTTACTCTTAGTGGTGGCAAATTTAGGGTGCCTCTAATGTGGTGGTAGTACTGCTTTCATGGATCTTGCTTTTGGGCATTTAACTAAATAACATGATATAATGAGCTACTTGGCTGTTCATGTAATATTCTCTCTGAAAGGTTCAAGCTATAATAACATGTTTAGAATTGCTCGTTGGATTTTAAAATAATTAACTTGGATTGGGCAAGGCAAAAAGTAATTTCTTTTCAGCGTGGCATAGAAATAAGAAGTGGAATTGTATCTAATATTGTGATTGACTGGTATAATCTCAGTGTCATCAGCCCATCACTTGGAACCTTGTTTGCAATACAGATGCACACATCTCCAGTAGACCTAAAGAACAAAGGAAAAAGCTGCATGCTGGAGAAACTTGGTATCTGGCAGTCTCTTGTTTATGTGCATAACCTGACATGAAATCAGTTTATATTGAGGAATGAATATGGAAATTTCTTTGTGTGTGAAGGATTAAATGGCTTATAGAAGGAATGCATAGAAATAATTTTTGGTTCAAATGTTCCAGTTTTTTATTATTTTAAAAACCTGAAGGCTCCTTGCTCAGCATAAGTGTTACTTTGAGATTAATACATGCCATTTTTAACTATGCTTCTTTCACTAATCCCAAGGTGAGGTTGAGTAAGTTTTATTAATGAAACAAATGTTTTTGGAGAGAATAGCTTAAAAATCAGTAGTTCATGTGACTGAGCACACAACTCATAGTTTTTCATTCTTATATTCAGTGCCCTGAATTATTTCTGAAGGGGGAATTTAATGTGGAATAATTGATTCTGTGGCATAATCAATTAATTTGATTCGGAATTCCCTATGGCTGGATGGAAAGACGGCTGTTTGGGTTTTTCCTTCTTGGAGGATGAGAATAATGATGAACAGTCAACATCTGAGTGGAAAAACTCTGTCTTTACTTTGAGGAGGGCAAATTGCCTCCCTGAAGGTTATTTTTATTTTGTTTGCTCCCTACACTTTCTGTCCTGCTGCAGCTTAATCAAAACCTTGTGTAAGGACGCTAGTTCAAAGCTTGTGAGTAATTTAAGACTTTTATAGTGCCATGAACTTGAGAATGAAAAACTATTCTTGTAGAACATACCCATCAACTTTGCTTTCTTATAAACCCTTAACTGATTTAGCTCGCATTGACATTCTGTGCCTTTTCTGTGTCTTGTCTACTTCTTTGCTCTTTCCATTAGATCCTCCTACTACTACCACTCGACTGCCCACGGTTCCCTGGCATCCTTCGACTGATGGCACCACAGGTTTAGCAACAGAACCTAGAATAATAAATTTCCCAACATCAACCTTGCCAACAAAGCAGGACGACACTTGGGGTATCGTCGTCGGTTGTGTGGTGGGTGGGGTTCTTTTACTGTTACTTCTTGGTACTCTGGTTGGAGCTGTCTACTATAAGAGAAGAAAGACGTTCCGCGGTGACTACTTTGCTAAGAGCTACATTCCACCATCAGATATGCAAAAAGAGTCCCAAATAGATGTTCTTCAGTCAGATGATATGGGTTCTTACCCTGGCAGTATAAAAAAAGAAACAAAGCATCCAATGAACTTAATATCTAAAGATTATTTAGAAGACCCTGGAAAACCTGAGTTGAACAATATAGACAATACTAACAGGTACCAGGACCGTTATGAAAGACCAATGGATTACCATGAAGGTGGAACATTTGGAATGGGTTTTATGCATGGTGAATTTTACGAGGATGATGACTTTGTTTCTCACTTAGATGGTGCGGTAATATCTCGGAGGGAGTGGTATGTGTAGTAACCACTGAAAACTAAACATGTACCTGCAGTTCACTTCATTGGCTGGTCACTTTCAGATTGTTTATACTTAAACAAGAGTAGGAATAAACTTTTTGAAACTTTTTTTTGAAGGTTTTTATATTGTGACTTGACACAATGGAAATACTGAATCTGGGGAAAATGTATTTGAGCTGCTTTTTTTTCCCAATGCTGTACTACTGTTTAAGATTTGAGTTTAAACGCAGAGTGCTTATATTGGTCTATGTCAGAGTTAAAAAAAAAAGGCTAAATTAAAGTTGCCATTCAATATTGTTTAAGAATAAAAAGTGGCTGTCTTGGTTCTCTGTTCTAAAAATAAGTTTACCCAAGGCAATGATCAAATATAATCTTTGGGGGCTTTGAATTACTCCAACCTAGGTACCATCCATGGTAAACTTAAGGCTTCTATATAGCAAATACTTTACCAATTAAAATAAGTTGCAGCAGAATTAAAGCTTTATTTTCTAGGGTTTTTTCTGCATAAAAATGAATACCTCTTAGCATTTTAATGAGCCTTCTTGTAACTATATACTTAAAAGTTAAGTCATTGCACTGAAACTAACTTATGAACAACATTTTGAGGAGTAACTGTACACAGGTCAAAGGCTTGTATTTGAATAAGATGAAAAGTTATTTTTTTATAGTCATTGATTTCTAAAGCTTATTCTAGTGTCTGTATATATACATACAGCAAGGTGTTTTGTTAGGCCTGTAATTGGCAGGATGTCAAAACTCATTAATGCATTCAAGATGCTCTTTGCAAGTTCACAGGGTGCAATTTTTGAGACCTATTCTGGAGGCTTTGTGGGAATCTTATCATTGAATTTAAAAGCTGGTTAATTGGACACAACTAAGGAGAAAACACCCGTGTAGATTCCGAAGCTGGAGGCTAATGTGAATGTGCTTATTTTCCCAGGTGCCAAAAAGCATTAGAGTTTCTATGACCAGAAGTTAAAACAGCGGTTTTACGCTGCTTCCGACTAAGTTACAATGCCTGCTTTGAAGAGGGTAACCAGAGTTTCAGATTATTAGTAGGGAAGTGGACACTTGCACTGCTACTTCAGGTATTGAAAATGCACTCTTCAATGGTGCAACTAAAGAAATTAATTAAATGAATAATTATTAAATAAAGGAATTCAGATGATTTGTGCAGTCTCTGTACCGCAGTGGATTTGTTTTCCCTGCAAATAATCCGTACTGATTTCACAAGTTCTTTAAAATAACATCGTATCCATTATACGTAGGAAATCTTGTCTGACATGTGAAATAGTTCTACTTTGTCTTAAGCAGATTCACCCAACTACATCTGCTGATTATGTGAGGAGGAATGAAACAACTTTAGATGAATTGCAGAACAACAATAAATTCATAAGTAGAATAGTAAATCTTTTGAAGTGCCATTTGTAAGTGTTTAGCTTGAGGAAATTGAAGCTGATAAGACTATTAGTATTTGAAACCTGAAAAGGGAAAAGTCTCTGCTACCGTTGATGTGAAATAGGCTGCATAATTACAGCTGCTTCATGAGCATTGAGGCTGGAAGTTCTTTTCTATCCTCATGATGTTTGGTAGCTTACAGCATTTAGAGCTTCACAAAAATAGTCGTATTGAGCATTGTAGACAATACACTGTGATTGCATATGACTGCATGTTTCTAAAAAAGATTAAGACAACAGCTTTATTTGAAGTTCAAATGGAAAAGCATCCCTAAACAACTTAAGTTTGGGTTTGGATTAATGGAGTGCTGATACGTGATTGACCAAAGTCTCAAAAACAATAGCAAGTGATATTGTGGTTATCTGTAGTTTGAGTGCAAACACAAGAAAAGGAGTGAAATTTCTAGCAGAGAGTTCTGATCCAAATTATCTCTGGAATAAAGAGATCATACCTCTCTTCAAATAAAACTTGATATGTCATCTTTAAAAGATGGTGTTACTTGGAAATAAACATAACCATAAACCAGTTTTCCACATGGGATATCTTGCTTTTGTCTCTGTGGATTTTTTTGCTTTGATTTTTAAGATATATATATATATTTAATTCCTATGGGTTGAGAAGTTGAAATGTTCTGGAGTTGAAGTTATTGATAGGGATAGGGCTTATGCGCGTTGCAATGTTTTGTACATTATGTCTGCTGTAAAAAGAATTGATTGTACGTACAAATGGCTGTTGTGTGAATAAACTTTTTCTTACATTCTGGAACATAGGTAGTGTTCAAAAATGTTTCCCAGGTATGTTCTTAAAAGTTGGAGATGGAAAAGCACAATAAACCCAGAGGCTGGATAGAATGAACTAAAGTGTTTAAGCTGTTTGAGATGGGCTGCTTAGTATTTCCCCGTGGAGACCCTAAGCTTATAAAACAAGTGTATTCAGAAACTCATTGAAGAAGATTGAGAGAATGATAAATGGAGGTGTTTGCTGTCCAAAACATTTCATTTCAAGCACAGCTGATAAACTAACTAGGAATTGCATACTTAAAATCAGTCTTGTTTTTTCATTCTAGTGTCTTTGTTTGCTTTAACCGTATTTTTTGGAGTTAATCAATTCCCATCTATTTCTGACCATCTGAGGGGTTAAAATGCTTTGTAGGTGGCACCATACATCTTAGGTCCTCTCTGGCTTGTTTAGCTTGGCATGGTGGTCTGGGTTTATGATCATTCTGCTGGTTAGACTGATGTTTTGCCAAAGCAATTCAGAAAATCAAATTAAGTGTGCCCTGTGGTAATTGTATTTAAGTTACTGTATGTCACAGTGCTGGGATATTACTATTTTTCCTGGTGTTCAGAAGCAAATGGGCATTTTTTGTCATCTCACCCAAAATGAGACTCAATGGGTGGACACTGGTTGAAAGTATAATACTTAATGATGTTTTAACATTATAGCAGAATTTACTAGAAGAAAAGGTGCCATGAAGTTAGGATGAAGCAATAAAGAAACTCTTCTGATGTAATCACAAGATCAAAGCATCTTCAAGAATTCTGGACCTAAGAATGTATATTACTTAGTTGAGACTTTCTCACTTAAAGAGGAAGGCTCCCACTATAAACTTAAGCCATTTAAAATGCAGTGGTTAAGTGACTTTTCCACTGATTCATGGGCCCATTCTTCGGGAAAAACTATGAATTATGCTTGTGTTGTAGTTGAAGCCCAGCTTGCAGCTAAGCATCGCACAGCTGCTTGCTTTTTCCACCCCTCTCTTCTCCCACCCCAGTGGAATGGGCAGGAGAATCAAAAGTAAAACTTGTAGGTTGAGATAAAAACAGTTTAATAATTGAAAACAAAATATAGTGATAATAGTAATGGATAATGAAGGAAGGGACGCAAACAAGTGATGCACAATATTTCTTTCTGGGTAATTTCCCCAGTTTATATACTTGGCATGGTGTTCTGTGGTGTGGAATATCCTTTTGGCCAGTTCCAGGTCACCTGTCCCAAATATGCTCCCTCCCAGTGTTCTTTTGTGCAGCTCCTCACTGGCAGAGCGTGGGACACACACACACGCAAGAAATAAAAGCCTTTGACTTAGGATAAACACGACTTAGCAAAAACCAAAACGTGGGTGGGTTATCAGCATTATTCTCATGCTGAATCCAAACCACTGTTCCAGCTCCTGAGAAGAAATTATCTCTATCCCAGCCCAAGCCAGGACAGTTTATAGTATCTGATGGACACAGGGATCTTATGCCAGGAAACTACAAACTAGGGGTGGTACATTGCATTCGTCTTTGAGGAGCAAAGCAACTTCCTCAAGTTGTTACTCTAGGACTTTATTCCTTAATGTTAGGGAAGTCAAAAAAAAAAAAAAAAGCTTATTTCAGCTTTTTTTCAAGTTACTTAAATATGCCTTTGTGAGTGTGTTCCCAGGGGAATATTCATGTCAGATATTTCATAAGCAGTGAGGGGACAGGAATTGCTTTATTAGAGTGCAAGTCTTGTATTGTGGGATTTTTTTTTTCAATTGAGGGATTTTGCTCAGCTTTCTAGCATACACAGAGAACAACATTAGAAATCTGAGGAATTGATAAATCATAATGCATAGTTTCAGGGTTTTTATCTGTGAATAGAACATACAGCTGAAGAGGCTCTCAAAATTGCCTTCAGTAAGAGATTATAAATAGAGAATGGTCATATTGCATTTGGACAATAGCTGAAGTAGACTGCTTTAGAAATATGTTGCAGGTATAGAACTGTTAATTTTCAATTTCTTAGTTCAATTTTCTGATTCAGTAATCAATGTAAATCAGAGCATTATTTAAAGTATGCTGCCTAAATTTTGTAGGTAAGTGTTTAATGCAGTTGACATGAATTATTACAATTGTGAAACTTTTTGTTGAGCCTGTTGGTGCAGGTTTGAAGCACTGATGATTTTAACTTAAAGTATGCTAGCAGCTTTTTCAGTTTTGAGACTTTAAAACTTTATTTCTAAGCATAGTGAAAGGAGTGGCCTTTGAAGACTGACAGGTATGTTACTTCAGTATGAGAGTTGTTCAGCATTGGATTTGACAATACTAAAGTCAAAAGAAAAATGTTCTAAAAGGAAAAAAGTCAGCTTTTTCTCTCCCCTTATTAAAATTTATTTTAGAAAATTACTTTCTTGTATCTTGAAGTATGAAGTCCTAAATATGATTGGTGGTCTTAGGGTTTGCTTTGATCAGTGTAAGCCAAGTATTTAGCGTGTTCGTTGCTCCTAGTATATGGAGGTTTTTTTACACTCGTTTTAAGTTTTTCTTTTTTGCTTTCTGCAGACTTAAGTGTCTTTAAAGAAAGATTGTCAATAAACCATAGTTGCCCAGGTTTTTGAATTAACACCTTGTTAGCTCATATGTTTTGTAATGTCATCTTACCTTGAAAGTGAGAATGAAAGCTGCTAGAACTTAATAAAAGTAGTCCATGAAATTTTTTCTATCAGGTTTTTATTTAATGAACTCTCTTAATTCCCACAGTTTTTTAGTTGGGTAAGTTGAGGCAATACTGCAAAAGTGGTAGTGCAGGACAAGGCTTTCTCTTTGGCAGTGGAAGGAAGAAGCATTTCTCAGAACAACACTGAAGTAGTTTATCTGACTATTGAAAGTATTTGAACTTCTTAAAGTTGTAATCTATGCTATCACATTGCAGATGTGCCCTTTAAGCAGACATCTTCTGTTGCTGTAGCAGGGGCTGTGATTGGAGCAGTCCTTGCTCTTTTTATCATTACCATCTTTGTGACAGTGCTGCTGACCCCAAGGAAGAAAAGGCCAGCCTATCTTGACAAAGTGTGAGTATGTGTTGGGCTTTCTTTTTTAATTCAATTGAAAGCAATATGCAGAAAGCATTTGTTCTATACAGGAAAGTAAATGTCTGACTTAATTTAGCAGCTATTCAGCTTTTGTAATTTCAGGGCTCCATTTTCAGAGTAGACAAATGTGCAATCACACTTGCGTTTCTGAAAAAGAAATGAGGAAGGTAAGAACTACTTCAGAAGTAATATAATGCTTTATCTCTTGAGAAGTCTGGCATTTTTTGAAGGAAAACTACTCATGGATTTAACTGGAGGGCAAAGAAGAGTTCCCTCTTGACTGATGCCAGCGACTGCTAGTTTGTTGTAACTGCGAGTCTAACTTGCAAGTAAATTGCCCATGCTTTGCAGATATGAAGGCTCCCCTAAAATTAATCCTAAAACGTTTGTAAAATTAAGCAAACTCCCACAGATATGTGCTTAGAAATTACTGACTTGTGCTTTCTAGAAAGTTAGTTGTTTCTTCAAGTCTCTGGCACAGACACACAGTTTACTTTATTCAATGTGATCAAACAAAAAAGAAGGAAACAAAAACATCTGAAAAGATGTTATCAGTTAAAGTGGATGATGTCTAGATCCTGTTTGGAGCATGCATAAAAAAGTGACAAGGGCTTAGAATATTTGTAAATGTGAGTCTTCTTGCATCCCACATGCAGTTTCTTACATCCTATATACAGTTAACACTTAAACTGAATGAGAAATGTCACTTATTAATTACTTACTAGTTAATGAGAACTAGAGTAAAATAACTTAGAGCTTTTAGCATAAAATAAGTTTCCTCATTTGCATTGAGCTAGCAGGATGAGTCAAAAGTCTTCTTTTGAGCGACTTCTAACATTGTTAGAAATGCTGTTTCTTGTTTGTGTCTCTTAAATTCTGTATCTGAAGCATATTTATAAGAATGATCTTACATATTTAAGTTATTTTCTAACCATTTGCTTTCACTGAGAAAGTTAAAATAGAAAAAGTCTTGTAAGTAAGGCTTTCTTAAAAGCTTTTTAAGGAAAGGCTATAGTTAAAAACTTTCTTCAAGCTGTATATCATAACTTAGAAACTATGTTAGATACCAGTAGTGTCTAAGTTGGAGTGTATGGGGGGAAGTTCAGTCTGCCTAACACAGGATGCAATAAATTACAAATTCTGGGTGGAACTTTTCTACAAAAAGTGTGTGGCTGAGTAATAGCCATTGGTAGACATGTTCCATTACAATATGTCATATCTGAGTCATTGCTGACTGAAAGGTGTTTATCCCCGAGTACTGAGAGTTGGGTGATTGGGCAGTTAATATGTGACCATTCGATTAGAATTCACAAGCATGATGTGTCATATTCATTCCCTCTTTACTATAGGATTGATCTTCCACCCACTCACAAACCAGCCTCATTTGAGGAGAGAACATTGTCAGTACCACAGAAAGAAGCTATGCTGCAGGTGAGTGTGTTTATATGCATCTTCAATTGACTTAAGGAAAGTGTTAACTTTGCTTCATTATGCTGATTTTACTTTCCTGGTAATATATGGAGCCCTTCAATGGTTTCACAACCAAGCTGTTTCCCTACATATGTGATATCCAAATCTCTTATCTGTATTGTTAAAGTCATCCTTAGAGGTCAGAAACTGGTAGACAGAGCATCTTGCATTTCTAACAGCCTTTGACAGACATGGCTCCTTTTGAATTAGAAAAACCTATAGTTGAAATTCAGTGGTGAAAGAATATACATATCTTTATAAAGCAGTCTTCATAAGGGGGAAATTATGCTTGGTAAACTTAAAAAGCAGCCTTATTATCAGCTCCCTTGCTAGTAGCAACTCCCATTCTTTTGAATTATTAACATTTGAGGGGTGGGGATAAATTGGAATTTGGGCTTTGATATGGCTAATTTACCAAAGTATGAGTTTGATTCTCATTGAAGACCACTATTTAGATCACTTTAAATACTTGCAAT